ATTATATTTCTACAAATGTTTTATTCCATATTCCTTAGTTAGAATGCACGTCACAATTTTTTAAATTACGTTTTGATTGTTATGACTAAATACAGAGGAAGGTACCAGCATTTCTGGAGTGGTTTATTTAAGAGAAGACCAAAAAGTATAAGCAGCTTTTAATGCATTGCTTTTTTCTTTATTTGCAATTTCTTGGTGCTTTTATTTTTAGTATTTTTTATTAAATAATCACGCTTATTATTTATGCAATATAATAATTTTAATTGGCACTTTGTACTTCTTTTTGATTTATACTTTGTGTGGTTTACATTATTTATACTTCTGACCAGTAATTGAAAATTTTATTATTAATGTAATAAATGAAAGTAGAGTACATATTATTGTCTGGTGGGGTTTTTACAAGACAATCGAATTTTGGGCTAATCGTTTCACTGTTTACAGCAATTACAAAAGCTCAAAGCTGAAAATGAGAGATTGAAAGCCGAAAATCGGGCACTTACCCGCGTCGTATCCAAACTCACCAATACTACTAAATAGGTAAAGGACATAATGACAGCATCTGCGTTAACAGTGTACATCGTACTTCACGTACAACATTAATTAATTAATTGATTACTTACGATTTTTACGTTCTGATCGCAATATTAAAACTTTGAAACGATGTCGCTCGCTGACTTATTTACAATACAGCTTCGCAAAATATACCACGCGTAATTGTGATTATTAAAATAGTTTCATTGTAAAAATCTATAACAGCTTATGGTACAAACATTTAAAGCTTATATAAAATATGTTCTTTAATGGAAATTATGCTATAATTATGTAAAACTCCGTTTTTCTCTATTGTACTAATGACACTTACAAATTTATAATGTATATGTCTTTTGGTTTTTATACATATTTTGCATTTTCAAATTCTTAAAAAATATTGCTTAATAAAATTCACAAATATTTTTTTATTATTCAGTTATATGTACCAATATAGATATTATATTAATCCAAATTTGAGATATAAAGTAATTACATTCTTCTTCAAAATTGAAAAACGCAGTCTGTCCTTTGTTTTCTTTGTAAAGGTATTTTTTTTTATCAAAGACTCAACTGGGCTAAAGAGTTTAATATATTATAAAAGTAAGATTGTTTTTTCCTTATGAAATTGGTTTATAATCTAGGGTATTATAGAATACCAAAATTTTTATTAAATATGAAATATTTTCATCATTACCCTATAAAACATGGATTACTTTACAAGTGATTTTCTAATTTTTAAAGACAAATTACAAATAATTTTTATTCTTTGCACTTTTGCAACTTTTTAATACTGTTGCTTAGCTTTGTTAAAAGATATATCTAAGTATAATATTTAAAAATTAGTATCACTGTGTACCTTTTCCTAAAAAAGCATGCTTAGTGTAAAGTCATATTTTATTGCACTATGTATTGTTTGATATTCACATTTTAATGCCCGATTTGTATCACTCGTACAATTTTTTATTTACTGTACGATAGGAACTTTACAGTGACGGATTTTTTAAGGTGCATGATAAAATTCAACAGATGGACTATAATATCTCATAAGAATAATAAGAAGACCAATTACTGTAAT